GTAGAAAAGTTTTCCCTGTACAATCAACTGGATTTCCACAAACTGTTTTCCAAAATAATCTCCTAAAACTCTTCCTCCCTTAAAGATCTCCAACAGGACACCAATGAGGAAGAAGAGGAACAGGGAAACATCCTAGAACCCACCCTTCCCAAGAACACAGAAAAATGTCCACACACGTGCCCCACAGTAAGACCAGATATTTCACAGTCTGGTGAAATATCTGCGTCTAGCTTCCCATTGAGGACACTGCTCTTCTCTGTATTTGTTTGCATAGGGGTGCCCTAGCAACACGCCACAGTCTGGGCTTGAACAACAAAACTGTATTTTCTCACAGTTCTAGAGGCTGGAAGTCCAAGATCAACGAGTCGACAGGGTTGGTCCCTTTTAATTTAATTAAATTTATTTATTTAATTTGAGACAGGGCCTTACTTTCTTACCCAGAATGGAACACAGTGGCATGATCTCAGCTCACTGCAGCCTCAGCTTTCTGGGCTCAAGCAATCCTTCTACCTGAGCTGCCTGAGTAGCTGGCACCACAGGTGCATACCACCATGCCGGCTATTTCTTTTGGTTTTGTATTTTTTTTTTTTTTTTTGTAGAGACAGGGTTTCACCATGTTGCCCAGGCTAGTCTTGAACTCCTGTCCTCCAGCAATCCACCTGTCTGGGCCTCCCAAAATGCTGGGATTACAGGTGTGAGCTACCATGCCCGGCCAGGGTTAGTTTCTTCCGAGGGCTGTGAGGGAAAGACCTGTTTTAGGCTCTTTCCTTAGCTTGTAGATACCTTCTTCTGCCTCTATCTTCACGTGGTCTTTACTCTGTTTGTCTGTGTCTGTGTCATAATTTCCTCTTCTTATGAGGAGACCAGTCATAAGTCACTAGGATTCAGGTCCAACCTAGTGACCTCATTTTAACTTAATTACTTCTTTAAAGATGCTATCTCCAAACATAGTCACATTTTGAGGTTCCAGGGGTTAGACCTTGGACGTATCCACTTGGGGTGGACCAGGGGATGGCATTTATCATACAAGAACCTCCCTCTCTCTTCCAAGTTCCCTGTCACCCTATGTCAGCCTAATTCTAAAGGGCTCAAACTCTGGGACCAGGCAGGTATGACTCTGGATAAGTTACTTAAGCCCTCTGCCTTGGTTTGCTCATACATAACATTGAGCTAATAATTGTAGTTGTCTCACAGGGTTATCAGGGGAATTAAAGGAGTTATATGTCTAAGGCACTCAGAAGAGCACCTGGCACAGATCGAGCACTATATAAGTGCTTATTAAGTTAAACATTGAAATCAACAACTCATTTTTACTAAGCCGTTAGGAGAAGCTAGGCACAGCAGTGCACATCTATAGTTCTAGCCACTCGCAAGGCTGTGGTGGGAGGATTACTTGAGCCCAGGCATTCAAGACCAGCCTGGGCAACATAGCAAGACTCCAATCTCTTAAAAGATTTTTTAAGTTAGCCAGATGTGGTGGTATGTATCTGTGGTCCCAGCTACTTCAGAGGCTGGGGCGGGAGGATTGCTTGAGCTCAGGAGTTGGAGGCTGCAGTGAGTTATAATCTCACCACTGCACTCCAGCCTGAGCCACAGAGAGAGACACCATGTTTAAAAAAAATTAATAAAAATTAAGACAATTTAAAAAGTGCTAGGAGGTTGTTACATTACCCTCCCAAAGAATTTGCTTTCTTGGCTGGGCACAGTGGCTCACCCCCTGTAATCCCAACACTTTGGGAGGCTGAGGCAGGCAGATCACCTGAGGTCAGGAGTTCGAGACCAGCCTGACCAACATGGAGAAATGCTGTCTTTACTAAAAAATACAAAATTAGCCAGGGGTGGTGGCATATACCTGTAATTCCAGCTACTTGGGAGGCTGAGGCAGGAGAATCCCTTGAGCTGGGGGGGCGGAGGTTGTGGTAAGCTGAGATGGCACCACTGCACTCCAGCCTGGGTAACAAGAGCAAAACTCCATCTTAAAAAAAGAATTCACTTTCTCTGGGCAATGCTTAATATCAGCAATGGAATCACTAATCCACAATAGGGGAACCACATATATTTGAGGGTGTGGGTCCCCAACATTCTTCAAAGTACACTATTTGACAACTACATAATTCATTATAAAATATTAACAGTACTCAACATTTATTAAATGCTAATGATGGGGCTGGACATGGCGGCTCCCACCTGTAATCCTAGCACTTTGGGAAGTTGAGATGGGAGGACCACTGAAGGTTGGGAGTTCGAGACCAGCCTGGCCAAAATAACGAAAGCCCAGCTCTACTAAAAATACAAAAATTAGCTGGGCATGCTGGTAGGGACCTGAAGTCCCAGTTGCTTGGGAGGCTGAGGCAGGAGAATTGCTTGAAACCAGGAGGTGGAGGTTGCAATGAGCTGAGATTGTACCACTGCGCTCCAGCCCGGGTGACAGAGTGAGACTGTTAAAAAAAAAAAAAAAAAAAAAAAAGGCAGAAAGGCCGGGTGTGGTGGCTCAAACCTGTAATCCCAGCACTTTGGGAAACCAAGGTGGGTGGATCACAAAGTCAAGAGATCCAGACCTTCCTGACCAATATGGCGAAACTCTGTCTCTATTAAAATACCAAAAAAAAAAAAAAAAAAAATAGCTGGGCATGGTGGTATGTGCCTGTAATCCCAACTACTCGGGAGGCTGAGGCAGGAGAATTGCTTGAACCAAAGAGGCAGAGGTTGTAGTGAGCCAAGATCACGCCACTGCACTCCAGCCTGGCACCTGGTGACAGAGCAATACTCTGTCTCAAAAAAAAAAAAAAAAGCTTCTGATGGGCCAGGCAGTGTTTTAAGTAAGGGCTTTCCTGGTATATAGGCTGTGGGGTGGGTACTATTATTATCCCCACTGTACAGCTTAGCGAATGGAGGCTCCAAAAAGCCAGGTCTGAAGCCCATGCTCCCTACTTAGTAAGTGGTCCAGCAGCACAGGACAACTAGTATGTACAAATTAAGGCCTGCCAGACTTAGAGCATCAGAAAGGGAGAGGTTATTCCTTCTCTCCCACTTTTCCATCATCCCCTTTTCTTCCCCCTCTGCTGAACATTGCATCCCCACGGCCAAGACTGCACCCCCTGTTCTACAGACAACATCCAAGCTGCTGGGACCCGACCCAGCACCACCTTGAGAGCCCAGCATTTCAAGGGGCAGGCTTCCAAACAGGGTAATAATCGTCCCATTAAAATTAATGTCCATGAAGTGAGCCGTTAAAAGCGTGCAGATTAAAAAGAGGGGGGAGGGAATTGTTCGATTTAAATCCAAAGGGCTTTTTAAATAGACACTGTGTCTTCATTCTTGGAACGCTACACCCGGGCAATGGATCAGGTCCCCTCTGCAGAGACTAGGGGGGGATTAAGGAGGTGAGTCCCAGGAGAATGGGAAGCAGTTCTGGCCAGAAGCAAAGGGAACCAAGGTTCATCCAGGGCCCACTGCGTGCCAGGTGCTTGGCACACATTTCTCTCATTTAATCTCTGCCCCAGTCCTGGGTTGGAGGTATTATTATTCCCAGATTACAGGGGGCAGTATAAAACCGTGGTTAAGAGCTTAGAGCCTGCGGCATACTGCCCTAATTCACATGCAGGTTTCATTCTTAGCTACTCTGTGAGCTTAGGCAAGAGGCCTTATCTACCTATGCCTCAGCTTCCTCATCTTTGAAATATTATAGTAATTGCTCATAGAATTGTTGGGAGATTTACCTTTAGGCAGCAGAGGCAAGGGCGCCCAAAGCCTACAGATGCCAGACATGGAAATCTTGGCCATTAAGAAGCCTAGGAGAATTGGAGCCAGGTGAGGGAAAGGGCCACCAGGATCATATGGAGGTGTGGGCCCTGAGTCCTGACTTTGTTGTCATTTCACCGCGCTGCAGGCCAAAGCAGACATTTCTCCTCCTGATCAATTCAGACCAAAACTAAGTTCACAGGATTGGAGAATCATGGTTATACTCTGCGGTGGGAAGGAAAGAATGGAAGCTCCCTCAGCAGCTTCCAGACTCCCACCTTCGAGCCACCTCTGGACTCATCCCGATCGTCTGAATCCCAAAGTTGCCTGAATTCCAGTGGATTTAATATCGCAGGTTTCATTCTCCCCTGAAGAATCCTGAGAGCCGCCCCACCCATCTGAACCTTCACTGGCTGTGACAACTCCAGACTCTCCAGTCTGGAGGTGCACAGGAGCGGCTGTCGGGTTGGAAAAGGGGGAATTAAAGTCCCCCGCACCCCTCCTCTCGCTGACCCCTTAGGGTCTCTACTGCGCATAAATCGGGATCGTCGCAGAAAACTGTAACCCCATCAAGAAAATAACGTTCACAAAGAAAGCAGACAAGAAGTTTCCCTTTAGAAAGGCCCTTGTGAGGGCCTTTTGGGTGCAGGTACTGGGCGGTGAGAAAGCCTCTGTCCGCGCCCCACGTGAGCTCAGGACCGACCCCTCCAACCTCCCACTGCGCCTACGTCAGGGTTTCTAGCCGGGCGCTGGGGGCGCGTTAGGATCAGGCTGAAAGCCTACAGGTGCCCAGTCAGACCTGAAACGAGGCAAGTTAGGTGTAATCTGGCCCTTCCACAAGATTTTGAATCCACCCACTTCCCCCAAACAAAACAGCCTCGGAATATTTTTGAATCAGGCAGCCGAATTCAGTATCAGCTTCTTCCAAAACGGCAAACAAGGCTGCTTCCTTCGCCAAATCGGAACTCGAGCTGAATTCAGGAAAAGAGGAAGGAGAACAACCTTCCCTCGCTTCCGCGGGGGTCCCCCAAGACCCTCAAAGCCCGGGACCTCCGTCGCGGGGCGCCTTCTCGCGTAGCCGCGCGCCGCCCTACCCCGTCTCCCAAACCGCGCGCCCCTCGCTGCCGGCGCCGCTAGGGTTAAAAGTTACCTCTCGGTTTCTTCTGCCTGCAGCCCCCCCCACCCCCGGGGGCCGGATGATGTAACCCCCCTCCCCGCCCCCCTCCACCATGTGACACTTTAATTAATAATAGCGCTGTCAGCACAACAAACGCACAACACAAGGAGAAACTTGGTGTCCAGGGGAGGCCCCCGGCGGCTGGAGCGCGGCGGCGGCGGGCGCAGAGGCCGGAGGGAGAGGAGGCGAGGGGCGGCCCGAGCGCGGGGCGGGAGCGAGGCCAGCGGTCATGTGCCCGTGCCCCCTGCACCGCGGCCGCGGCCCCCCGGCCGTTTGCGCCTGCAGCGCGGGTCGCCTGGGGCTGCGCTCGTCCGCCGCGCAGCTCACCGCCGCCCGGCTCAAGGCGCTCGGCGACGAGCTGCACCAGCGCACCATGTGGCGGCGCCGCGCGCGGAGCCGGAGGGCGCCGGCGCCCGGCGCGCTCCCCACCTACTGGCCCTGGCTGTGCGCGGCCGCGCAGGTGGCGGCGCTGGCGGCCTGGCTGCTCGGCAGGCGGAACTTGTAGGAACGCGGGGCTTCTTGGTGGGGCCGGAGCCGAGACCCAGCCGGAGCGAGCAACAGGTACGCGAGCGAGCGAGCGAGCGAGCGAGAGCCAGGGCGCGGCAGCTGGGCACTGGAGGCGCTGGGCTGGCCCGGGAGCGGGAGAGTGGCAAGTTTGGCTTTCTTCTCTTCCCTTTCCCTTCTTCCTCTGTTCTCTTCTCTTGCAAGCACCCCCGGCCAGCTCTTCTGCCCAGCCCCCGTCTTTCCTTCCAAGTGTCAGGTCCACCGTTTCTGCCCCCATCTCTCCGAGTCCTTAAGCGCATCTTGCTACTTTCTCCCTTAGAGCTGGTTGGCTTGCGGAGGACTTCAGCCTCCATAATCCCCACCAGCCCCACAAATAAACACACAATGCAAGTAAAAAGTGTGCTTGCGATGAGAATGTAGCTGAAAGCTACGCCAAATACTTATAATCTGTCGCAGTTTTAAGAAAGGTCCCCTGTCCCCTTCAAGCCTCTTGCCGTTCCTGAGTCGCCACCGTCTCCCTCACCTTTGCTCCCACCTCTTCTCCCTAAGTGTCACTTCCCCAATCTCTGATCCCCATTCTCTGCCACCCCAATCGCATCTCGAGACTTCGTCCTCCTTGTTTCCGGCTGGCCCAATCTTCGACCCCAAGCCCCGCGCATTTGCAAATTTCCTCTGCCCTGCCAACTTCGCTCCTTCGCCAGTGAGTTGTCCTGTTTAAGGAATTTGGCCTCCTTCTCCTCAGACGGTTGTAGCTGCGTTGGGAAGGAGACGCCCTCGCAGTGGGTTGGAATAGGAGGCTTTTGGGGAAACTCCAATGGGAAGCCTTAAGGAAGGAACATTTACTGAGCTCCTTCTGGGTGCTGGGTACTGTTTAGGGAAGTGATGTTTTGAGAGCTTAGGACTGGACGTGGGCCTTGAGCGCCTAGTGTGGTTGGTATCAGTGGGAGGAAGGTTATAGGCTCTTGGGGGGAAATTATTGTGCCATAGCTGTGCGTCTGGCACTGTGCTAGGCGCTTTGAGGAAGCACACAGTGTAAGCATCGCCTTACTACTCTGGATCCTGGAGTAGCGAGGAGCGTTGCAGAGAATGAAGGTGGAGAGAATCAAGCTGAGTCCACCATAGATGGGTCTAGGGCCGGAAGGTGAAGATCGAAGGTGATATAGCCAGCCGCCCTTGGGTCCCCACCGCCGAGCCCCGCCTCGCACCGCAGACACCCTGGGAAGCTGGAGCGGCGCCTGAAGGCGAGGCCCTAGCGCCTGCGCCCGCCGGGAAAGGCGGCAGCCGGAGCGTGGGGGGTGGCAGCGCCCAGGGAGCTGCGGGGGTGCACGGGGTGTGAGCCGGGACCGCAGGCGACAGATGTCGCGTGGGCCCGCCCAGCCTGGGCGCTGACGAAGAGAAGTGAGCGCTTCGGGGCGCACTCCGCAGGGCTCCCGGGCGCCGGGGGTCCCTTCCACTACTCTCCGCCTTCTTCCTCCTCCAGTTGGAGAGGCCGGGGGCTCCCGCGACTGAATGGGGCCAGGCTGAGGCTGCCCAATCCCAGGAACGGGAAGAACACTTTGGATGGATCTCGTGGAGCAGAAAAAGGAAGTTGAGCGACAGACGCGAAGCCCAAAGCGTGGAATTTGGGAAGAGGCAGAAAGAAAAGTGGGTGAAGAGGGAGAGAAAAACCAGGCGATGAGGCGGGGAGGGACAAGAAGTTTGGAGAGGGTGGAGAAAAAGAGAAAGTGCCTGGAGAACAAGTTGTAAGACAATTGAAAAGTGAATTAGAAGGCAAGAGAAGAAGGGAGTAAAATCAAATAGAAATGGGGAGAGGGCTGGGACACGGCTTTCTTTGGTTCTGTCGTCCAGGAGATTGGAAAAGCGCTCCCCTCCCGGGACGTGGCGTGCGGGATGTCAGGCGCCCCTCCCGGGAGGCGGAGGACTCCGGGCCGGAGGTTGTCTGAGTGTTCCCGTTTGCCAGTGTGTGAGTGTCAGAGGTGTGAACCCGCCCGGATCCCCAAAGAGGAGGATGCGGGAGGGGCGGGCAAAGTGCGCCGCTCTGCGCTGGAGCGCAGGGGAGGAGTTGGGGAACTGGGGTCTGCGCTGCAGGGGAGGGCGGCGGCGAGGGGTTTCGCTGTTTTGCATCGATGTTGAGGGGCAGCAGCAGGTAATTGTCGCTGCGGAGTTTATTTCCCCCGCCTCCCTCGGCTTCTACCTCCGAGTTACTTCCGTGCTGCGCCCTGACTCTGAGACACCGTCTTCCCACACCTGTGGGTTCTTCTACCTGCTGTGTCCCGCCCGGGCATCCCTAGCAGCCACAACCTCCAGGGTTCTGCAGGCTCTGGCGCCCTGACCTCAGGATGCGCCGCACGGCTTCCCTCCAGGCCGCCCCTCCTACCCTCGGGACACCCGTAGAATTGCTCACCACCCGCCTTCTGCGCTCCCAGCCAGGGTTACCCGTGCTGGAGCTCCCTGCACTGGCCGGGATCAGGTTCTCTCCCTGCAGCCTACATCTGATCTCAGAATACCAGCGGCTCCGGCCTTTCTCATGCTTTTAGTTTGATTTGGGGAAGCCCATTTTTTCCCAGCTCTGGTAAGTTAAGTAGAAGAGACAGAAAATTCACTGGAGGAAGACAATTTTTGGCGTTCTATGCTGGATATGGAGTGCTCTCCACTTTCCCTACTCTGATGGAGAAAGGGGAATGTTCACAGCTGTACCTTCGGTGTTTGAGGGAGGCCTGTGTCAGCCATATAGAGTGGGAACCACCACTTTCAATTCTCATAGGTTTCAAGGGTGTGCTCAGCTATATGCAGGATCAGTATTTCCAACATACAGGCCCGGCAGGGTGGCTCATACCTGTAATCCCAGCACTTTGGGAGGCCGAGGCAGGGGGATCACCTGAGGTCAGAAGTTTGAGACCAGCATGGCCAGTATGGTGAAGCCCCATCTCTACTAAAAATACAAAAGTTAGCTGGGGATGGGGGTGCACACCTGTAATCCCAGCTACTTGGGAGGCTGAGGCAGGAGAATCTCTTCAACCTGGGAGGCAGAGGTTGCAGTGACCCAAGAAGTGAGCGGAGAAGAGCCGAGATCTCACCACTGCACTCCAGCCTGGGTGACAGTGTGCGACTCCAACTCAATAATAATAATAATTGTATGTATGTATGTGTGTACGTATATAGTATATATATATTTATATTTTCAGCATACCTGTTTTGAGCCTATCCTGCGAGCCATCAATACTTTTCTTAGTAGTCATTTAAAAGAAAATAACAAACAGCAACAAACACCCAAGACTCAGTTTTCCCATATGTAAAATGGGGATAATAATAATACTTAATGCATAGGCACATTATTAAGAGGGTTAAATGAATTCATACACAGAAAGCTCTAGAACAGTGGATTTACATGTGAGCCATCATGATGATTACTGTGCATTTACTATCATTCTTTCCCAAGGTAGTCAACATTTTCCCATTATTTCTGCTGGCAATTCCACACCACTCCTGCCTGCCTTCCTGGGAAATCAGTGCCAGGAGGGTCAGGAGAGAATAATGGTTAAGAGACTCTTTAATGCCCAGCCACTTGCTGACAGCGTAGCCTTGAGAAAGAACCATTACTTCTCTGCACCTTTATCTGTAAACTGGAGCTGTTTCCAGGGTTATTGGGAGAATGATAAGATAACATTCATCTAAAGGTCCAGTACAGGCTGGGTGCAGTGGCTCAATCCTGTAATCCCAGCACTTTGGGAGGCCAAGGTGGGCGGATCACTTGAGGCCAGGAGTTCAAGACCAGCTTGGGCAACATGGTGAAACCTCATCTGTACAAACAATATATAAATAAAAACAAAAATTAGCTGGTCATGGTGGTGTGCACCTGTCCCAGCTACTCAGGAGGCCTAGGTGGGAGGATCACTTGAGTCCCAGAGGCAGAGGTTGCAGTGAGCTGAGATCACACCACTGCACTCCAGTCTAGGGGACAACAAGACCCTGTCTAAAAAAAAAAAAAAAAAAAAGTGTCCAGTGCAGTGTCTGTCTCTTAACTTCACTCAACAGAGGATGTCATAAAATAGTCAGAGCCATTCTTTTTACTTCAAAGGGGAAGCTAAGGCAGAGAGCGCCCACCTAAGTGATCCTCAATGAATTAGAGTTTCCGCCTTTGAGGGTGCACAGCCCCCCTCGCCCCATGACTTGCAGGGGAAGAGGAGATGGGGCAGTAAGCAGACGGGGTGGTGCACAGTGAATTCCTGTACAAGTGAAATTCCCTTTCTTTCAGAGCCCCAGGGGAAGCTCCTCTGAGGCTGGGGTGGCCAGGAGGAGATGGGTATGATTTAACCGGTCAATACTCAAAGATACAGGGGAGAGGGAACAAAAGATGCTTTATGGTGAGCATTGGCTGGCGGAGGCCTGGGAGGGAGGGAGTAGCGTGCCTAGGGAGGGGGCAGGGAGGGAGAGAGAATGGAGCCCAGGAATCTGCCTGGGAGTTGGGGCCAGAGCTGGGTAGAATCCTTCTTTGAGAGCAGGGGAAGGGGAGATAGGGGGACTCTGCAGGCCCATAAGGCGACGTGGTCAGTGGCAAGGAAGATAATGGGCCAGCGGGAGCCTGCTTTAATGAATTAATGACGGCCTGGACAGCCAGCCAGACATGCTAACTGGTTCTTGGCAGGTACTTTGGGGATTAAGTGGTTAAACCTGGAGGCACATCCCGCAGGCCTCCCTCCCAGCCCGAAGCACCCCTGCCAGAATTACTTTTAGAGCTTGAAAGCTTGGCCTTCTGCTTGGCGAGGGAGCCCAGGGAGGACAGCTGTTGGGGAGGAACCCCCCGGGAAGGGGCCAGATGTGCAGAACCAGGCAGCCTTCCTGCCACATGGTCCCTGTCTGGAGTCATCCGCTCGCCTAGTGAGAGGCCAGAGTACAAGTGATTGAGCTGTGGATGGAAAAGAGCCACGCCCGGGGATAATGAAATACACCCCCAGATGTGGGCTGGCTGCATTTGGCAATCACAACTCTAGTTTTTCTGAAAAGTCGGCCTTTTAGATCTATGTTTGGCAGATACAGATTGTTGGATGGGGGCTTTTGTTTCTTTGGTGGTCCTCCCTTGTGTCCCTGTAATAGATTTCACAGGAATAGAAAGCTAACCCACAGTGTCCCTAGCCCTGGCGACTTGCTTGTCACATAGTAGGTGTACAATAACTGTGCTGCATTTCATGAATCAGAAACTATGCAACATTGGCCAGGTATGCTGGCTCATACCTGTAATCCCAGCACTTTGAGAGGCTGAGGCCAGTGGATCACTTGAGGTCAGGAGTTTGAGACCAGCCTGGCCAATGTGGTAAAATCCTGTTTCCGTTAGCTAGGCATGATGGCGTGCACCTGTAGTCCCAGCTACTCTGGAGGCTAAGGCAGGAGAACTGCATGAACCTAGGAGGCGGAGGTTGCAGTGAGCTGAGATTGGGTCATTGTATTCCAGCCTGGGCCACAGAATGAGTGGGACTCCGTTAAAATAAAAAGTTAAAAAAGAAACTATGCAACATCATCACTGTTGTTTTCCAAATTCAGATTCTTCCATTTATTCAACTGCTAATTATTGAGTACCTTCTATATATAGGGCACTGTGGATACGGGAAGGACCAAGACGTGGAGTTCCCTGCTTTCATGGAGCCCACATTTTACTGGGAAGAGACAGATAATAAGTAAATATTGTTTTTGTTACTACTTCTGTGTAACAAATTACTCCGAAACTACTAAGTTTTGCTTAAAACAACTAGAGCCACCCTCTGTCTCTGGGAGGGGGCGGTTCCAGGAGCCCACCTTGGATCCCAAAATCTGAGGGTGCCAAGTCCTTGATATAAAATGGTGTAGTGTTTGCATATAACACCTACACACTGTGTGCTTTAAATCATCTCTAGATTACTTATAATACCCAATACCATGTAAATGCTATGTAAATAAGTATACTGTATTGTTTTTATATGTATTTTTAAAAATTATTGTGTTATTTTTTAATTTTATTTTTTCCAATATTGGTTGAATCTGTGGATGTGGAACCCATCTATATGGAAGGCTGACATATTTGACCATGCTCATACATTCTGTAGGTTAGGAATTTGGTCAGAGCATAGTGGGGGTGACTTGTCTGTGCTCCAGGATGGCTGGGGGCTGGAGTCAAGGGTAGGAAGGCAACCTGATTTACATATCTGGCTGTTAATACTGGGAGTCAGCTGGGGCTGTCAATTGGAGCAGCTATACTCTGCCTCTTCATGTGGCTTGGGCTTCCTCACAGCATGGCAGCCGGATTCTGACACAGTGACTGGGAGCTCCAAAAGCAAGTATCCCAAGGAATTAGGGGGAAGCTGCTTTGCTTTTTCTGACCCAGCTTCCAAAGTCACTTTGGTTAGAAGTAAGTCAAAAGCTGATGCAGATTCAAGATGGGGCAGAATTAGAGTCCACCTCATGCGGGAGTGGTGGGGTTCTGGAATAGCATGTGGAATGGGAGATATTATAGTGGCCACCTTTGGATTATGCAATCTAACACAGAGATAGTTTCAAAAAGTGTTCAGGGCTCTGAAGCACAAATACACAAAGGTAACATAATAGAGAGTTCCCCAGGGACTCCTCACCTGTGGCGATGAGGGAAGGAAGGCCACTCTGAAGAGCAACCAGGG